ACCTCCTTCTCCTTCCCCCTCTAGTGAACCCACCTCCCTCCCCTTTGATGAACCAACCTCTCTCCCCTTTCGGTGAACCCACATCTTCAGTGAAACCGAAACCCACCTTTTTCCCCCTCTGATGAACCCACCTCCCTCGCCCACCAACGAAAACTAAACCCATCACCACCCAAACAATTCACCTCCCTCCTCCTCCGGTGAAGCCACCTCCTTCCCCCCTCCAGTGAAGCCACCTCCCTCCCCTTCTAGTGAAATCAAAATTCACCCATACCCCAAACAATTGAAAATCCCTCAAGTGAAACTGAAAACATTCATACACCGAAACACTGGTAAAATCGAACATCCATACACCCCCACCCTCAAACATCTACCCTCCCTTTCCTCCTCTCGTGAAATCGAAACCACCCTTAGTAATAGCTCCCAAACAGCCCCAACCCCATAGGAAATCTACTCTTCATTGGGCAACACCCATTTGGAGAAAGAGAGAGAGAGGAAAAAAAAAAGGGTTGAGAGCTTCGTCAGAGCTGGTATGTGAAGGGAAAGAAGGACCAGAGCTAGGAAAAGGATTGGGGGCATTGTTGGAGTTGGGATGGAGTTGAGTACAAAGCAAAAATGGAAAAAAAAAAAAAAACTGATTTTGGGGTAATCACATTTTCTTCTCACTCAATCAGTTAATTTAGTCCAAAAAAAAAACTTTAAGGGGATAAATTGTTGACTTTAAAACCTGAGAAAGTCGATCACAACATAACCCAAATATGGAGGGGGCATTTTGTAATTAATTCTTATTCTTATTCTCTCACTCTCTCTCCCCTATTTTTTTTTTCTCCCTTTCTTTCATTATCGTCATTTTGTGTCCCTATTTGGTATAATTGTTTCGTCTATCTGAACGCATGTGTAACTCTATGGTGTTTCATAATGCAAGTGTAACTGATTAGTGTAACTATTTGGTGTAACATTAATATCCAATTATGTCAAAGTAACTATTTGGTATAACGTTAATAGCCGATTATGTCAAATATTTATATATTTGAAAAGAAAATAAATTATCAATCAATTATAATCTCTTCGGTGTATCTCTTTTGGAGTACAACAATGTTTAAGAATGCCGACTTCGGATTGAGAGAGAGAGAGTAATTGTGCATTGAATACACAATAGAGAGAGAAAATAAAGGGAGAGATAGTGAGAGTGAGAGAGAGAGAGAGAGAGAGAGAGAGAAAATAGGGAGCGAGAGTAACCGCTTACACCTTGCACATTTTTTTACTTTTACTGAATGGCCTTTTGGTCTTTTTCATAAAAATGTACCTAAGGCCAAATAATTTTCCTTAATGTATTTTATTTCTAATAAATTTAAATTTTTGTACTAGCTTTCGTTTTTTCCTTAAAAATAAAGTCTGGATTTTAGGCCCCAAATTTTTAGAAGATTCCATAGTTTTAGGTATATTACTAACCTACAAAAAATTTAAATCCATTAAATTTTAAGCCCTAAAAAATTAAGTCCAATCAAAACTATTATTGCAACAATTTGGGCACATGATTCAATCCATAACATTAAAAACCTAAAAATCAAAAGTTAAAAAAAAATTAAAAAAAAATAACTCACTCATTCTCTCTCTTTCTCCTCGATAAAAATAGTAAAAAACATAAACAAAAGTTAAAATTAAACTATCTCTTCGATAAAAACAAGAGCAAAAGTTAAAGAAATTCTCAGATTTACTTTTTGAAAATCTTTTCTAAGAAATTGAGTTTAGTTTCGAGTAGGGTTTAGTTAGAATGCTCGTGGGCTTTTTGTCGGACCGAGTTGAGCAAAAATCTCTACTGAGGTCAAGCTTGATCAATCACAAACCAGTTCAATCTAAAGCATATTCAAACTCGACATTCAATTCACTTAACAATCCTACCTATAGTGGAAAATCAAGCAACCAATGTTTTGAGGTGGGGTACACACTCATTCCTAACATACCTAATTAATTGAAGTCATTCAATTAATTGTGAGTTTTAAAGTTGGATGGAGTCCACTTCCAATCTAACCGTTGTAATTGATTAGATTCCTAATTTAGATCCATAAATTAGATCCGAATAGCATTTTCCAATATAGCTTAACGAAAGATTTTGGTTGCCAAATGGAGAAATATTCCAAAGGCGAGAAACTACCAATGAGTGTGCTGAATTTTCAATCATGCAAATTACTTCATGTCAAAACTTACTTAACCGGTATCTAGGCCATTTTGTGAGTGTCTATTATGAGAATCGTATTATAAATACGACACCGACTCATTATTAAACAAAATTAAGCCATCAATCTATTTGTAACCCATGCCCTTCATCTTGTAACCTAGCCGCAGATTCGATTTCTTTGTGCGCAAAAGGTTTACAAAAAAGGTTAACGTAGGCCATTGGATTGGAGGGGAAGAAAGAACAAGGTTTTGGTTGGCCTCAATATTTATATTTTAAATAATAATTTATTTTTTATTTTCTTTCGTTACGTAGTTTAAAATTAAAGTGAACAAAAATAAAATATAAGAGGTAGGAGAGAGAAGAGAAAAATGTATATGTGGATTAATAAGGTTATTTGACATGGAAAGTGTGTTAGTTAAGTTGTCAGACATCAGGGTCGTGTAGAGAATATAATATTTTTTAGCGGGAACAAAAAAACTAGGGTAAATTTTATACTGTTGAATCAAAGTAGATGAAAATTCAATTAATCTTAGTCGTTGTTGTATTTTTAATGACTCAACTTTCTAATTATAATATTAAATCGATGGTTGTATATAAATTTGAATAATTGGTTTTTTTTTTTAAACATAGAATTCCAATAATTGGTTAAAATAGTAATTTATATCCGACTTACCAAATTTGAATTAAAATTTAATCATTAGCAAGCAATTTTTTTTTTTTTTTTGGGTAAATAATCATTTGCAGGCTCACTAAGAAGGGGGTGGGATGGGAGAAAATATTCATTCCAATGGTGATAGCACATACCAATGCTGATGTGGTATCACCGACCAATAATATCAAAATAAATAAGCAAATGAGCTCTATTAAAATTACAGTAATGTTATGCTGACCAAATTTAGATCCCAAATGATATGACAATATATTATTTTGAGTCTTTATTGAGACCTAAATGACATGACACCAAATAAAGAAACTCAAGTCAGCTGTCATGTCATTTGAGCTTCAAATTTGATCCCAAAATTTGGTCAATGTAGCATTACTGTTAAAATTAATAACTAGCCTTTTATGTAAACAAATAATTATCCAAGCAAGGTTCACCTTACTCACTTAATGTTCTATTTTTAGTTGGTGATACCACTTAAATATTACTAACATGGTATCACCATTACATTCAATATTTACTCGTGTGGGATGGAGGGGTAGCTGGTTGGATTATCAACATAAATTTGTGCACAAAAACAAATCAGAAAAAAGGAACATTGGATTCTCACCATGAAGATATAAAGTTATAAACCATACAAGAAATCTAGATACTGTACAGCTGTAACACAAAGAAAATTAATTAATTGCATAATGCCAACTATGTACAAAAGAAAAATGGTAGCACATAGCAATAGGAAAACTTGTTATTGTGTGTCGCATCAAGAAGTCAACAAAATTTTAAGTCCGTATCATGTTTAAATCATGTAAATCGTATTACGTTAAAATTGACTCAACACAGATACCATCCATTTGTCAAACAGACACCGTGAGCTAACTCCCCTTTATAACCCAAAACTCATGAGGGGTAAAACCAAATCCAATAGTTTCGTGTCGTCTTCTATGAATAAATCATCCAAAACGATAAACGTGTAAGAATAAGAACAAAAGAATAGAAGTTAACTAGAATTATGAGTCAACTACCGAGGGTACTTTAAAGCATTGGAAAGTATCCCACCGGTAAATATACGGCAATAAATATATGGTCACCAACAAATTGAAAAAAAAAAAAAATTATTTATGGTAACCAATGTTTGTGATACATTTATCAACCCAACAAAAAAGAATATATAGTTTAAGTGGTATTAGAAGTGAGCTGTAAATTTAAATGTTCTAAATTTGAATCTTGATAATCCCTTGGGATCAGGTAATTAGAGATTTGTCTATTTAGCCCCAGCGTGGATGGTCTACCATTGTCAAACCAGATAAAGTATTAATTGAGATACATGTACACTCACTCAAATAACTTAACCGTTAAAACAAACAAGAAAAGTAAAGAAAAAAAATGTATAATGGCCAATCTTAAGGCCAAATTGCCGGAAAGTGACATTTGAAGCATCTTCCAAACATATCCCCACACTGTATTTTATGATCCTAAGACAAATTCAACTTGCTTTGTTCCTCTCCAAATACTCTTCTATTGCTTGAAAAACAAGACAAAATGGACCGACTACTCTTCAAAACCGTGTGTGATGGCAACTTCTATTAATATACAAACAGATAAGGAAGTTTGACTTCCAACCAAACAGTCAGCTCAAAAATTTCCAATAGGATTTTTTTTAACGTCCAAAAATTATTCCAATCACGTAGTATTTTTTATAAACAGATAATTTCAAGCTAATCACTCACAAATAATAATGTGTATCTATTAAATTCGAGTTTTATGCTTCGTGGAACTTGAACTTAGCATGTGTGAAGAGTTTACGGCGACTATGTACTAACCTATTAGATTCTAATAAATTTTAGTGTTATAAACGTTGCTTTTGCTATTTTATTGTTATTTTGTGTAAATGGTGTCACATTATTACACAGTTTGTTAATACGATACGAAAGTGATACGAAATTAGAAGTTTAAGTCTTTTTTAAGTCACTCGTTTCATAAATAAATAGACTTGACACGATACGATTAATTGTTTATATATTTGGTATGCACGATTGATACGCGACACGAACTCAATATAATAAGACTTATTATTAGATACAAATTAACAAGCGAATCGGGTATAAATAAAATATTTTTTGACACAAACTCACTTCGCTCGACACGTTGGCCGGGCCTAATTCTATGGGCAAACCAACACCCAGGCAACTTCAGCTATTTTTTAAAAGCCTGGTTCCCTATAAAGATCAGCCACCAGGCCAAAACCAAACTTATCAAAACCTTCTTGTACATCTGTCTGATATGGTCTTCTTGGTACAAAGGCTTAGCCATTCCATTAGACAATTCTCCAAACTGGATAATCACCACCACCATTCGGAAGCCTCATCGGCTTCTTTACAAACTTTTCGATCCCATGTATCGAATTGCTTAAACCAACTCTCATTAGATTCGAAACCAGGATTCAAATACTGGTCCCTGCCATGGATTCATCGATGTTTCAAGCTACTTCCCGTGGTCAACGAAGCTTTTGCAAAGCTAGCAGTGGACATGGACTACCCCATGAGTAAATGGGAAGCTATTTCTATTGAGGAATACTTCCAGTATTCCTTGAATCTGCTAGAACACCTCAATTCAATTAGATCTGCTCTTGCTCATCTGAGCCAAGCTCGGGTTTCGCTATCTCATGCTCTGAGCCTTGTAGAGAATTCACCTTCTTTAGCAATGGAGTATCTGAGAAAAATTCAGTCAAAAAAACTCAGGAAGGAGTTTGAAATGAAAGGTATTGAAGAGAGGGAAGACATGCCTTGCTCAGGGAAGGAATTGGTTGTTCATGAAGCTTTGACAATCGTGAAGAATATTGAAACATGGGTATGTGGGATTGTGTTATCAGGCCTCTGCAGTGATGCTAAGCCATATATGATGATGAGAAAATCGGCTGCTCTGTTCGTCGATTCGTCGTTGAAGGCTCTGGATTCAAGTGTTTGCAGAGAAATAGAAGAGAAACAGGGTGTGTTGAAGGAATTTAAAGAGGTGAATGATGCAGTGGATTGTCTTGTTGAAGCTCTAGACAATGGAGAAGCTCATGAGGCTGTCAAGGAATTGGAAGGAAGATTGGAGGTGATTGAAATGGTTCTGCAGTGTATAGGGAAGGAACTGGATTGTCTGTTCTCAAATGTTCTGGCTGGGAGGGATGAATTGATTGAGATCCTTCGACAAAAAAGCCAATAGCAAGACTTTAATTTCTTTTTTATAGAATTGAATTTGTAAGTCATTTGTATGTAGATTGTAATTGTATAATTTGTTTGCAGATTATATGTTGATCTCACTATAATAAACTAAATATTTATTCACTTTTGTATACACATCGTGGCCCGAACTGGTATAGGAGATCTCCCTTACCTAGATAGCTGATCAAGATCCTCAATAGTCGAGAAATAAGTCAATCGAAACAGGACTGGCTATAGGTTCGATTGATCTGCGTAGGAGGAGGGAGGACGGGAGGAGGGAAAGATCTTGATGGTTATCTAGTGGTCTAATGGTAGAACATAAGATACAATGTAGAATTCTTATTCCTTCTTGGAAACACAGACTAAAACATCAAATATATAAAACTGATTACTGATGAAACAAGCAAAGATAAAAGTCACCGCGGAAGATGATTTCTCTTAAAAAAAATTGTAATTTGCAGAAGGGTAGTACCCAACTAAAGCTGAGGTTTTTTCTATTTTAAACAGCCTGTAGAAAAAATCGTCATTGAAAGGAAACATCTATGCTTGCAATTTTACCTTCCTGAAGTCATCTAAAGACTATAAAGTTGGTAAAAATGATGCTTCAACACAAAACTACTGAACTTGAACTAACTATTTCAAATACCCTTCGATTCACTTGCAACCGTTGCAAAAATAGGGAGAAACCAGCGACGAAAGGATCATGCTAGGCCTAGCCGACTCTTGGAGTTTCTGGAACGAGTTTCTCTCTCAGGTGCCTTCCTCTTTCGATACACATCAGATGGAAGCCTGAGCAATGAAACAGCATATGAGACTCATTGAACAATGACATTTACAGAACGCATACTATGAGACTATTTAAAACAATTGCATACAGCTGATCCTAATTCATAAGAACTAATTTTTTGGAAGCATTTCTTTGCATAACTTAATCAAAGGCATTCTAGTCCAGGTGAAGCTGAGCAGGTATAAAGCTTCAATATATACCAACTCAGCTTCCAAATATACCCACATATCCCAGGTTCAAGTACGTCGTGCGAGCGTCCCCTTTCCCCGTCTTCTTTAAGGTTGTTATCCTGCAGGACCTGCAGTAACTTTGTGGTTTGTAGGGACATTTGTTATTTATTTATTTTTATTTTGGGTTTTTTTTTTTTTTGGGGGGGGGAGGCAGCTATTCACTCCCCATTACAGCCAGAGAAGGAGAGGAAATGGGAAAAAAAGGAGAATAATAAGTGATGTAAGGAAAGACTTATACCCCAGTTGCAAGGTGGTATCTGAATCTCCATCATCAGCTCCATAATCGCAAACTGTATCTGGACTCACAGCACTACATTTTGGGAGAGAATTAATCCTTTCTACAGGATGGTATTCAAGGTAAGCTGGCACTGAGGGTTCACTAGATAAAAAGAAACCTCGAAGCTCCTCAACCTGTGAGCCATATTAAGCAAAAGGGAAATGAAGTTCGTAATGCATATTCAATACCAAATATGAGTCAAAATATTGTGGGGAGTTAATCATTGCATCAACAAGAACTGGCTTGCCTGTTTGCGCAATGTCTCGTTCTCTAGCATAACCCGCTGCTCCTAGATAGGAGCAAAGAAAAAATACTCTGAACTTGTAGCCATAATACCAAATTATAACCAAATATTAATTGCAGGAGCAACTTTTAATATTCTATTCTGCTATTTTTCCTTTTTTGGGCACTATGATATGTGTTTGCCATAACATTTCTGACGTTGCTAGTTCATACTCAGCAGGGAGAAATAACTGTTTTGTTTTTTTGGTCAGAAGGAGAAAGAACTGTCAGCAGACTCGGCACAAGCATCTTCATTCCACTTTCAATTCATAGCACAAACATAAATCTTTGCACTATAAGCATGAGTATAATCTAATTCTTTCAGTACCTCGACTTTAGTTGAAACTTACAATCTCCATTCCTCAAGTTTAAGATCTCAAATAAAATGATTAAAATTTTATGAAGCACTTCGGTACCTGTACCCTTGATTGCTGTAGTTGTTCCATCAGTATTTGCTCCTGGAAAGATGCAACTTTTTGTTAAGATCTTCAAAATGCATCTTAATACAGCCAGTAAATCTTTGATTCATCTTTAGATAACTTAATTTTAACATAAAAAAGAAGTAGGAAAAAAAAATACACCAAACCTTCCTCTGCTTGACGGATAATAACCCTTCATTTAATTGGTGTTCTAGGTGCTGCAACTCTTTCAAGCCCACACCACTAAAGTCCTTACCCAACAACTGCCTAAAACATCAGAATCACAATTACGTTATATAACTAAAGAGGTTTCACAGAATACCAAAATCTAATTATGATTATTCAGAAAACTAGAAGAGGGGCATACAATTGTTTTGATTTGAGCTCCATGATTTCCTCTTTCAGAATGTCCACCTCCTTAGACTCCTCCTATTCGGTACAACAAGGGAAGCCAAATAAATTAGGAAACTCAACTCCACACAATCAACACAACTGAACCTTGTCCCATCCATTTGGGTTGGCTACAACAGCCCCATACATAAGTGATAAAAATGGAATTTGGACAAGCAACTGTGTGCAGTCAGAAGAAAACATGAATTTGATCAAGACATAGCCTCATCAGTTCTACAGGTGCAATTCAGATCAACAGCCTGCGTGTAAATTTAGCCCAACCTCAAAATGTGGTGAAAGATGCTAAGTGTAGACAAGGCATTGAACAGCTAAGTGTTACCTTACCAAGCTCAGTTGTTGGTGGAAAAAAATCAGGACATATCACGAGATTAACGAAATTGACTAGTCAACCATATGCATTGTTGGAAAGATAGAGCCTAAATATAATATCTACAAATATATTATCAACCACAAGAGTTAAAAGTTAAAATGAATTAACATGACGTGATGATATTAGAGTAACTGATTTGTCAAACTTGCCAAGCCCTGTTTTTAGCCTATCTATTCTTTTGTGATCATCTTACTAAACTAACTGTAGACCATATTAATTTCGTCAAATAAGATGCATCAGATAGTAATCCTCAGGACCTGATTTCGCCCTGCTGAAGGTAGAATGCATTCCACCTATATAAGGTGTATTTTTGCCATTACTTGAGAGTGAAGCTGAGAAGGTAAATACGTGTGTTAACTTAGGGTTTCAACTCAGCAATTGACAGAGTGAGAGAAATCTGTTCCTGTGTATTTGATTAGTGCTGTAAAATGTTTATTTGATTAGTTCATTTTGCTTTTGTGTTACATTACATAGTTGTAGCGTTTCCGTTCTTTGGGCAAATAAAATTCAAAACATCATGGAAGCATTATAAGGCCTTGCTGCCCCCAACACCTAAACTGCAGTGTGAATTTCATAAAAAGTATAATTAAGCAGAGGCTATGCATCATTTTGTATCTAAACAAATGACTACCTCAATGACATGTATAAAAAGTTGATGTAGTTAAATATTTTAAAAATATAAAAATAATGAAGAAGCAAATGAAATGTGTATCTATCTACAAAGTCTCTTCTTCTGCTTTTATTTCCCAGTTTGAGAAATTAAAGGCCGCTCACACACACACACACACACAGAGCAATTTGCACCAAGAGAGCAACAATAGACAGAAAAAAAGGTCTTACCTGTATCTTGTGTTCCTCTATGGAAGTCTCTGAAGAATCTAGAGACTTGTTATACCTCAAAAGCATGCGCTTCATGCTGCAGTAAAGCAAAAAATATAAGGAGGCTTACCATAGATAACATAAATCCAACAGCAAAAGTTTATATCTGGCTATGGATGAGAATGATCATCAACACAATAGGCTGATACACATAAAAGGTGAATCTATCTTCTGTCACTGGTAGTTACGAGGCCCATCTTTCCACTCTCCTCCATGGAGCACCTTTTTTGTTCATGTGCAATGTCACTGAGAACAGAAGTGCTAAATACTTGGACCACTTCAATGTATTCCCAACCCCCTGTGTGTGCAAGTCTGCAAGGGCAGAATTACTACTCTACATGTACTGCAATCTCAAAGCTGCAATGCTACCTATGAATCACAGAAATTCTCCATTCTAACTTCACCGGTGCATTCTCCCTGGCACTTGTTAAAACCTTGCTTTAATCTCTAAACACTCTTGTATCTACATAATGACAATTCCACATTTAAGTTGTTCTAGTTAAACCTTAAAAACCTATATAGGGTGTGCATGTCTAAAATCTCCAAGCTAGATATCTATCTGCTCTAATGAGTCTAATCTATCATTCTATCTCTACCATTCTTCTAATGTAGGTACATTCACCTTGTCACAGTTTTTCGAAGGAAGAAAAGCGCTGAAAAAAAATGGTCTTTGCTTCCTCATTTAATGTTCATATTCCACAACATGAATGTCCCTGTCCTGCTTTTTTTTTTTTTTTTTGTTATATTACTTAATCCTCCTACACTAATGGATTCATTAAGCAAATCTTGCAACAAATAAGCATCCACAAAATCATCAACTTTTAACAAATATTTTAGGAAACAGAAAAATTATTCAGAAGGGGATGACTCAATAGAAAAGCTAATTTAAACTACTGCTACAATAGCAAGCACACTCGATCCATGATGGTACGCACCTAGGCATCACTTTTCCCCATCATCTCCAGGCATCGAAATGTTTGATCACAATCAGACCTCAATAATTTTAAAAATACATCAGGAAAAATCTAGATCCATTGTACATTATATTTGCTTATCAAATTCAGGTGAATTCTAGTAAAAACTCAAGGAAATCTAACAAGGACAAGGTTTTAGCTCAATTTGACAGAGTTATAAAGAACCACAAATAATTCATAAGCCATTCAATGATGCAACTTTTTATCTGCATTCAATAAATCCTAGTAAGCAATTAAAAGTACCTAAAAAGATGCAAGTAAAAAGTATCTTTCAGCTTCAATTTTTTTCGGCATTAAGATAAATCTAACCCAAACCCAGTACAAAACAACAATCGAGACACAAAAAACCATCAGAGAACAAAGGATCAATAAACAGAAACAATAACGAAATACATGCAAACAGTAGTACTCTAAAAAGACATAAAAATCACATCCAGAAAATCTATTTATTCAAAATAATCCCAGTAAAGTTTTTAAAGAAAAACTCTACTCATTCTTAAAACAAATAAAAATCAATGGATCAATCAAACCATGGTGAAAAGAACACATGCAAGTACATTAAAGATCCCAAAATAATATTTTTTTTTTTAAAAAAAGAAAAAAAAATAGTAGAATCCTACTCGGTACTGGAGAAGTCAAAAAGCCGTCCTGTGTTGGAAAAAATAATAACTGCAACTTCGGCATCGCATAGAACCGCAAGTTCATGAGCCTTCTTCAACAACCCAGTACGTCTCTTGGAGAATGTGACTTGCCTGCTATTGGCATTCTCGATCTTCTTTATCTCAATCTTCCCTCGACCCATTTTGTCTCTTCTAATTCAAAACAAACCCAGAAAACCCAATTGATCAAAAACCCAATAACCAGAACTCTCTCTCTCTCTCTATCTCTGTCTATCTCTATATATACGTCTCTGAGTTTATATATATAAACCCTCCTGACTAAAGGTTGTGCTAAAGTTGGGAAAAAGGGTTGCTAAATTTAGAGGGGTAGAAGATAAAGAGGCGTGGAGGAGTTTTGCCCCAAATGGCGAGAGTCTGGAAACGGCAAGTTTGCATGGCTGTTCCATACAATGCATGACTCTCTCTCTCTCTCTCCTCTCTTGCCACATTTAGATTGGATGCTGGGTCTGACGTGGGTCCCACTTTGCACTTTGCAATCTTCCGACTTGTTGGTTAGATTTGGTAAAGTCTATTTTTTGAGATTTTTACTTTCTTTGCTGTTTCTGGAGAGAATCTGAATTAGGACTCTCTTTAGTTTTCCTATTATTGCTGATTTTGACTTGTTTCTATGTTTATCTGCTGAATTTACCCACTCTCTCTCTCTCTCTCTCTCTCTCTCTCTCTATACTGCTATTTTAGAGCTGTCTTTTTCTTGTGCCTCAAGTTGTTTTACTTTTTCTCTCTTCTTTGTTTTTTTAACCCTTTCTAGAGAATATGTTGTATTTACTTATGTGTTAATTACAAATTGTCCCTCCAACTCATGGTTATTTTGCAATTAACTCTCAAGGAATCTAATTTTAATAATTTACCCCTTTAGAGTTTAAGTTGGGCTGAATTAACTGATAGTAATTTTCTATTTTTTGTCCATTCTAAGTCTCCCAAACATGATCCCCTCTTCAATCTCAGTTGTTTTTGCTCTTACTATACTTTGATTCGTCACCATCTCTATCCCCACTCGCAATGCCTCTGCTCACATTCAATACAAATCTAATGACAAACTGTGATTTTCATTAGAAAAAATCAACTTATGCCTGAAAAGTAATCAGTTTTCTCCTTAGGTCACCTCTGTCTCTCAAACTATGTCATGTTTATGTATTAGGTAATGCACAAGTATGAGGGGCAACTTGTAGAAATTAGAACCGAAGGGAACTAATTGCAAAACAATCATAAGTTGAAGGGGCCATTTAATTTGTAATTATTGGATAACGACACTAAAAATCCTCGTGACCAAAAAAACAAGAGGCACTATCATGTTTTTAAAAATTAAAATGTTCCCCAACAGAGAATGTTGGTTGACGAACACCCACATTATTATTTTTTGGGTATGTTTTATTCTCAAAAACATTTGTATTGCAAATCTACCTGTTATAACCAAAAGGAGCCCAATATCAATCTAGAAAAAGTTGAACCAATTGCCAAACAACCCAAATTCAATCCCTCCAGTCTCTTTTTTTTTTTTTGTGGCATATCAGTATCATCATATTCCTCTTCTTGCAAGTCAATTATCACAATCATACAATTCCACCCTCAAACCTCTATTTTATTTTATTTTTAATTTGACATTGTAGAAAGAGAGATAAATATCGAAATTGAAACTGGAGCATTTGCCTCTGTGTGTCTTAACAAAGCTCCGACAAATTATATCATGTTTTTGGCAGAACTTCAATCTCTATCTCCAAGGTTCTTCCATATTTTGGACCCTAGGTCCACGCCCTTTGCAACGACATGGATTGGTTTCGCGGCAAAGTTAACGACCTTGATGTGGCTGGTGCCCCTTTTTGTCTTCAGCCCCAAGCACTTGGCTTTCCCTTGGGGACAAAAACCAACTCTTCGGGAGAATGGTCTGCCTGAACTTAAAGACGGTGACACCTTCGTCATTTCATACACTAAATAAAAACCGGCGAAGGCAGATAAATGGGATGTGAAAAGCACCAAGATGGAAATCTTATCGCCATCCTATCTTTAGCCTACTCGGTCACTAGTTACTACCAACCAAAAACTACCATCACAAATGGTTCCACCATCAATATATAAATCTATACCATGAAATGTAAAGTACCACCTGACCAAGCCACCAAAAAAAAAAACCCACAACAAAATGCCATTGGTAAGACCTCATTTTAAATGTCTATGCTATATGATAATGATTCTTTTATTGAATACAATTCTCTTTCTTATATGATAGAATCAATGCTAGGGTAGTGGTGCTTTAATTTGAGTTTTTGAAAGTGTTGCTTTTGAATGACTGATTCCTCAATTAGTAGAGATTTTGTGCTTTCAAAAAACAAAATAGAGATGAAACGAACATGAGTTCAGTTTTTATATTGGAGTTTGATTAGTCTAAGTAAGTGAAAATAGTGAGCTACATATTTTTAGGATTTGAACTTAAATGTGGTTAGCTCTTGTGATATGAGAATTAACATAAGAAATAATAAGTCTTAATGATTGGTCGAGTAGAGATGCAACGAGTTATCAATGTTATATTACTAACAAAATTATTGAATTTTTTATTTGGGCTAGAATCAGAGAGAGAGATGTTATATTACGAACAAAATTATTGAATTTTTTTTTATTTTGAGCTAGAATCTGAGTGGGAGAGAGAAAGAGAGATAATTTTTTTATTTGGGCTAGAATTTGTGTGTGTGTGTGTGTGTGAGAGAGAGAGAGAGAGAGAGAGAGAGAGAGAGAGAGATATGCACATTGGACATATGACATTTGTTGAATAATATGTATTAGTTGGGGGCATACCCAAAAATATAAACCCAAATCATCCGGGGTATTGCATAATTTTAGAAACATGTAATTACCCATTACAATTGTCAGATAACACGGACGGCCTGTCCATATATTTTTTTAACATAATTTCCTATGATGCTATTTTTAGGTGATCTTTAATTGTGCACCACATTATTTTTTTCTTTTTTAACCCACTAGATAGGATAACCCCTAAGCCATTAATTAAACCCAAGTCATCCAAGCAATGGTCAAAATATCGTTTTAAAATGGCTGAAATAGTCAAAATATTTATATTTTTAAAGAGATTGAAATAAATCTGTGATTGAATTGAAATTTCAAAGTGTTTCGAGATATTTTAACATATTTTCATCAGCGTTTTCAAAATGTTTTGAGAAATTTTAAAATGTTTAAACACTAGCAATAATCAAGTGTCTGAAGGCAGTTTGCAATATCAAAACTTGAATATTGATCTTGTAATATTTATTTTAAATAACTTTTTTATTACACAATTTAAAGTTAAAATAAAGAGAGAGAAAATAAAAAGGAGCTGTATATTAATGAGATTGTTTGATATTGAAGTATGTGTTGATTGAGTTGTCTGACACTTAGAGATCTGATGAGTGCGTGAAAGTGAATTCTAAATATCTTATTATTGGATTAAAATACTAAAATGTGAATAAAAATAATTAGATATTATTGAATTTAATATCTATTTACACTGAGATATATTGGAGCATGATTTTATAATATTTTAAATCTTAAATATTGCATTATTAGTTGGTGAGAGATAATTTATTATTGGACTTTACACTTAATATTTTTGGGACTTTATTATTCAGGTTTTATATATATTTTTTATTTTGATGGCAGCCCATGGAGTAAAAAGGCTAAAATTGATGCAGCTGTTTATTGAGCTCAACACTCATAATTTTTATTAGGTTTTACCTTCTCAAAATACATAAGATTTGAACTTTAGGGACTAAAATAAAAAAGTTGGAATCAAGAGAAAATAAAAAAAAGTTTTTCTCAAGAAAAGAGGTGCACTTTTAAAAAAGGGCTTACTTTTTCTTCTTGAGGGTGGCGGCTGGGATACTGAAGAAAAATAAAGGAGGCGGCTATTTTGACTTGGAAGCAGATGCAGATTAGGAAAAAAACTCTGATGGCCACCAATTTGTTCTATTTTTTTGGAAGATTTTTGTTGTTTATTATATTTATGAGTAATTAAATTCTTAAGGAGGGCGAGGGAGGGATGAATTTACACAACAGATGGTATTTTATTTATTTTCAATTTATGTATTTGATTTTCAATTACTAAAACTCTTTTGTTTTATTATTCTCAATTCATTGTTGATGTTCTCTTCTCTGAATAATCATAAAATTTATTCTGTTTATGGATTTAGTCATACTTTTTCTATTGAATGGATTAGCTCTTTAATTATGTTTGGATCAATTATTTATCTATATTGGTTTAATTCTTTGCTAAAATATTGTTTCTTGAGTATGTTTTCTTCGTTGGAATTTTTCAATAGTAATAATAATTTACATATTTTCAAAGTGGTGAATGATTGTTCAAATGGTTACATTGTGTTTAATCTTGATTTATAAATTTGTAACTTCAGGTTGAAAATTTTGGGAATTGAATTCACAATTGAGTTATTCAATGAATTAAGAATAATTAAAATACCAGATTTGTGTAAGGGATTCCCGACGCTTTATTGTTTGTCAAATTTGAATATATATTTTTTTCCGTTAGTCACTTTGTTTCACTTTAATTTGCATTTAAAATTAATCTTTGTTCTCTAGTAATCATTTAATATTTTTCTTTAGTTCATTTGTTCCTTCTACTATTCTTTTAATTTGTCTCTCTGTGGAATCGACACCCCAAAGTTGTGTTATAACTACCACGTTATTCTTTGGGCGTAATCAACTTTTGGCACCGTTGCCAGGGAGACGGTAGAAAAATTGGTAGATAGTTTTTCTTTTCAACAATTTACAAAAGTGGTAATTTCATTTCTTCTTTTAGCTTGTTGTAGTGTCATTATTATTATTTTTTTTCTTTTTTCTTTTTATAGTATTTTTCTTCTTTTAGTATTTCATTGCCTTGCATGCACAAATATAAGGACACCTTGGGTAGATTTGCTTGTAGGCCTGTGGTAGAGTTAGAATCAAATTTTTTATTTGACAATCCATCGAGTCTCGAAGAAATGGGTGAACATGAAGATTAACCCATTAGAACTCTTCATGATTACCTCCACCCTACACGCACATCCACACCATCATGCATCATATTTCCAGCTAATACTCGCCAACTGGATTTTAAAACAGGGATGATACAGTTACTTCCTATTTTTCATGGCTTGAAAAATGAAAATTCATATGTGCACATTAGGAAGTTTGAGGAAGTAGTTACGACTTTTCATAATCAAATTGCACTTGATGACGTTGTAAAACTTAAGTTCTTTCCTTTCTCTTTGAATGATAGAGCTAAGAGTTGACTATATTTATTGAGACTACGATCTTATTGGGTCATGGAGTGAGATGACTCGGGTCTTCTTTAATAAATATTTCCCCCAACATAAGACCAACGCTTTAAAAAGGCAAATCTTCACCTTTACACAAAAGGATAGCGAGACTTTGTATCAGTCTTGGGAGAGATTTAAGGAGTTGTTGAGTGTGTGTCCTCACAATGGGTATAAGAATTGACGTTTAGTGAGCTATTTTTATGAGGGACTTACACCTAGAGAGCGCCAATTTGTAGAGATGATGTGTAATGGTGAATTTTTACAAAAAGATCCTGATGAGGCCATAGAATACCTCAATGAGCTTGTTGAAAAAGCTCACACTTGGACTAGACCTAGTGCTACTCAAAGCACAAATAGGTCACGACCTGCAGGAAACCCAAATGGTGGTGTAATTTACCATCTTAGGGAAGAGGATAGCCTAAAGGCTAAGGTTGAGATACTCAATAGGGAGCTAGATGTGTTAAAGACTAAGGACTTAAAGCCAACACACGTGGCTAATCATGCAGAGTCTTTTGGATCATGTTTTGTGTGTGGCGAGGTAGGTCATCTCATCCAAGAATGTCTCACACTTGCTGAGATGAGAGGGATGTATAAAGAATAATGTAATGTCTTAGGTATGTACAAGAAGCTTTTTACAACTTACTCTGATATCTATATTCCGAGGTGGTGCAATCACCCCAATTTTAGCTAGAAGTTTGAAAATCAACTGCCTGCACAACCCCCTAGATCATATCTTGTACCTTATCATGCACCTTCATCTTCTAGGAGTCCTTTAGAAGAAACTTTGCATGCTTTTATTGACACACAGGGTAAGACTAATGAAAAGTTTGAATATTTGATTATGCAGGTTGTTGAAGAAAACAAAGAGATAAAGAGCCAAGTGTCCAAATTGATAAGCACCTTGAGTGTGAATGAGCGAGATAAGTTCCTTTTTCAAGCTCAGTTCGCACCTCATGGTCAACACATGGCGTAAGATAATTTGAAGGATGTGAATGCCATTGTGACATTAAGTGGTGATTCATTACACATCCCAACAACGGACAAATCAGAGGATGTGAAAAATGATCAAGATAATAGTGATGCCGAGCTGACCAAGGAACTTGAGGTAACAAAGAGTCTTGTTAAGGTACCATTCCCTCAAGCTTTAAAATCAAGCAAGCGAACTCTGGATCCTAACAATGAAATCCTAGAGAATCTAAGGCAGGTAAAAATCAATCTTCCTCTTTTGCATGTGATTAAGCAAGTTCCTATTTATGCAAAAGTTCTAAAAGATTTGTGTACAGTTAAGAGGAAGCACCATGTGAAAAAGACAGTGTTCCTGATATAGCAAGTTAGTGCTCTAATTGAGCAGCGAATTCCTCCGAAGTACAATGATCCTGGTTGTCCAACCATTGCGTGCAGCATTGAAAATCATGAGTTTGGGCAAACGTTGGTAGATTTAGGAGCTAGCATGAATCTAATGCCATATTCTATTTATTTGCAGTTGGGGTTGGGAGGGAGAAATCAAACCAACCACTTTGGTATTGCAATTGGTTGACCGTTCAGTCAAAGTACCTCGGGGTGTGGTAGGGGATGTTCTAATTCAAATT